CGCGCCCCCCCGCCGGGCCGGGAAAGGCCGACGCCGAGGCCGCGCCGGGAGAAGGCCACCGACAGACCCAACGGAGCCGCCGCGAGGGCGCCCGACCCGCAGAATACCCACCCCTTCGGGCCCGGAGCCCCGTTGCCGCTCGGCACGCCGGACGCGCCGCTTTCCTCCTCCATTTTGGGCTCCGTCGCTGCCACCTCGGCCGCCGCTTCGACCCCTGCCGCCATTTTCTCCGCGTCTGGGCTTTGTGTGAGGGAGCGCGCTGCGCGGCGATGCGCCTGCGCGCTCACGTGACCCGGTGCGACCAGTAACGCCTGCGCGCGACGCGGACGGCTCCCGCTTCCTCCCCGCGCCTCCGCTCGGACCACGCCCCTCCCGCAGGCCACGCCTCCGACGGGAGCAGGCGCAGGCGCAGACCGGCCGCTGTCTATTCATTCATTCCCGCGTCAAATTTGTCTCAGACATTTACTGGATACTACACCGGTCCCTAAGTACTGTAGGGACGAACGTACACCTCACAGCTACGCGCACAACCCCAGTTCTAGTCACTCCAAGCTGTCTGTAACCAGAGCTCGGCCAGAAATGAGGCAGAGTCCTATCTGCGGGTTCCTGGAAGGTTTAGATCACTATAACACACACAGATCAATTCCAAATAAAACTTTCTCCTCAATATAATTGAAAGCACTAGAAGAGATTTACAAACTGGGCATGGTGGCGCACACCTGTAATCTTAGCCCTGGAGAGGCTGAGGCAGGACGATTGCCATAAATTAAAAAGCTTGTTTCAAAAATTTTTAAAAATGAGCCGGGCGTGGTGGTGCACGCCCGTAACCCCAGCACTTGGGAGGCTGAGGCAGAAGGATCGTTGTGAGTTCGAGGCCAGCCTGGGCTACATAAATGAGCTCAAGGCCAGCCTGAACCACATAGCAAGACCCTGTCTCAAAAACCAAAAAAAAAAGAAAAAAAAATTTTGAAAAAGAAGATTTACAAAGGAAACGGCTTTCACGGTTCTTTTTGTTTGGTTCTTTGGTTGGTGGGTTGGGTTTTTTTATTTTGTGGTTTTTGGTTTTTTTGAGACAGGGTCTCGCTATGCAATTCAGGCTGACCTTGAACTCCACCCAAGCAGGTCTCAAACTCACAGTGATCCTCCTGCCTACGCCTCCCAAATGCTGATGTAGGTGTGCAACACCATGCATAGCTCGCGGTTCCTGATGGCTTTTCGTTGGGCATCTTGACATTTCCAGGGGCACCACAACCCACAGTTGCCTGAGAAGTGAGCGCCAGGCAGCAGAGCCATGTGCTTGGGTGTGAGCCTGTGCTTGTGCAGACGCCAGCCCCCCTTGCACCTGTCACCGCTGCCTGGAGGCCTCTGAGCCCTGCCCCTTCTCCACATTGTTCCGGCCAGGGGATCTCCCAGGCTGCTCATCCTCCAGGCCACACAGGCCCTTTGCCTTTTACAAAACCCGCTTCCCCATACCCTTGCAGGCTGGGCTGAAGGGCTTAGCTTCCTCTGTGGATGAGCTAGTGCCAGGCCGAAGGAAAAAGCGCCAGACCTTGAGCCAGCGACCCCCTTCCCCTGAGGCTGTTTGCTCATCTGCAAGTGGCTTAATAAGAGACTCCCCGAACCCACCTTTCGGGGCGGCATTCAGCACTAAACGCAGGCAGATGCCAAGAGGTCTGGGATGTAAACAGCTCAACAAGTAAAAAGCCTCAAGAGGTAGCCACTGTTCTTTGGCCCGGCCACGTGGCGCTGCCTCTCCGCCTCGTGGGGGAGGCGGGGCACAAGCTCCAAAAGGGGGCAGCACAGACCACAGGCCTCAGCCTCCTAGGGTGTGTGTGCTGGGCTGGGCCTCGGTCTTCTCACTGTGAAGGGGAAGTAATAGCAGTTTCTTTCCCCACAAGCTGCTGCTAACAAGAGCCAGAGGAGGAAGGGACCCCAGGCTTCACCCATGGTGACCCCTGAAAGATGGAAAGTCTGATCATTGGTTACTAGCGAGTGGAGGGCTAGGGATGTAGCAGAGTGGCATAAGCACCTGCCTGGCAAGTGCAAGGTCCTGAGTTCGATTCCTGGTACAAAAACAAAAAGACAAACTAATGAGTGGGAAAGGCCTAGCATGGTATCCGGCCCTGGGAGACGTCAAGTGGAAACTGTTCTTGGGTAGCCTCTTTTTTTTTTTTTTTTTTTTTTTTGGTCTTTTTGAGAGGGTCTCAGTATGCAGTTCAGGCTGGCCTTGAGCTCACTTTGTAGCCCAGGCTGGTCTTGAACTTGAAACAACCCTCCTGCCTCAGCCTCCCAAATGCTGGGATTACAGGCCTGCGCCACCAGGCCTGGCTTCCTTATCTAGTCTTAAAATCTTTTTTTTTGTTTTGGTGGTACTGGGAATCGAACTCACGACCTCACGCTTATAAGGCAGGCACTGTGCCACAGAGCTATATCCCCAGCCCTTAAAATCATTTATGCTGTTACCCTGCTACCTGCTGTTCCTGTGAAAACTCAGGCTCTGTTTCTCCCTGTGATCCACAGCCATACCACCCTGAACGCGCCTGGTCTCATCTGTTTCTCCCCGTGGGCTTCATAACAGATCCCTCCACTTCGTCCCTCACTCGGAGCCCTTTAAAATGTAACTGACGCGTCCGTTTCATCCAGCAAGGGCGCCTTTTATTCATTCAGGGGTGGTTTTTTGAAACGCAGTGCAACTTTATAAAGTCAGGGGTGCCGGGAAAGCGGGCCTGCCGATGCGAGAAGCGCAAGAAGCTTGCTGGGACCTTCCAGCCTGAGGGCGCCCTTGCCGATCCCACCACGGCCGCTGGCCCGGGAGGTGCCGAACAGACCTCAGAGTGAGATCAGGGTGCGTGCTCCGTCTGAAGCTCAGGACCGTGTCCGTCTGTCTTTGTCACGTCCAACAGTGTGCAAAAAACCTGAAAATGTGTTCACATGGGATCATGGAACAGGCTCCACCGGAAGGGGCTCTGGCCCTACAAGCATTCGGGCCAAGCAGGAGAGCTCGGGTGCTTTCCGTCCCACCCGACACCCGGCACGGCCAGCTGCCTCTGGCCTCTCCACCAGCCCGGCCTTCACACGGGCGTCTCCTCTGCCACCTTCTTCAGGAGTCCGGCTGCCAGCGGGGAGTGGTGGGCGTCCTCGGGGCCGTCCGCGTCCCGGATCTTCAGGCGGACCTTCTGATTCGTCCTCCTCCATTCAGAGTACAGCTGGCAATGGTAGCGGAAAGAGACCTGCGGGGCAGTCCTGCTGTGGGTGGGAAGGCCCGGCTGCGCCCTGGGCCGAGGGAGGAGGAGGGGTCCCACGGCACCTGGCTGAGCCCACACCAGGGCCTGGCATGCATTCAGGAGCAGAGCCAGCAGGCAACCATCCCTCTCTTCCCTCCCCCACCTTCCTCTCTCCCCTCCCCCTCCCTCTCTTCCTTGTTTTGTGATACAGTGAGGAGCCCAAGATCATCTTGCTAAGCTACATCCCCAGCCCATTTTTTATTTTTCCGTTTCAGACATCACGACATCACTAAATTGCTCAGGCTTAGCCGGGCGTGGTGGCGCACGCCTGTAATCCCAGCACTTGGGAGGCTGAGGCAGGAGGATCACTGCAAGTTCGAGACCAGCCTGGGCTACAAAGTGAGCTCAAAGCTGGCCTGAACTGCATAGCGAGACCCTGTCTCAGAAAGACAAAAGAAATAAAAAATAAGAATAAATAAATTGCTCAGGCTGGGCTCAACCTTTCCGTCCTTCTCCCTTGGCCTCCAGCAGAAGGGACCACATTGTCAAATCAGTCACATAAGCACTGTAACTGGGAAGCAACCCAGATGTCCCACAGGGACAATACATAATTCTTCATAGGTAAAAAGGAGCAAGAAGCCAAGTGTGGTGGCGCATGCCTTTTATCCCAGCACTCCAGAGGCTGATGCAGGAGGATCGCTGCAAGTGTGAGGCCAGCCTGGGATCTGTAGTGGTTAAAGCCAGCCAGTACTACATAGCGAGACCCTGCCTCAGAAAAACAAAAATAGTCTGGGTGTGTGGTGCATGCTTGTAATCCCAGCACTTGGGAGGCTGAGGCAGGAGAACTGCTGCAAGTTTGAGGCCAGCCTGGGCTACATAGTGAACAAGCCAGCCTGAACTACACAGTGAGACCCTGTCTCAAAAACCAAACAAAACACAAAACAAAAATTAAATAAATAAAAGGAAGTGAGAGCTAGGTATACCTCAGTGATACAGTGCTTGCCTGGCACGCACAAGGTTCTGGGTTCCATCCCTAGCATCTCAAAAAAAAATAAAAATAAAAATAAAAAGAAGTGAGAAGCCCTAAAAAGATACAGAGAAACCAGAAACGCGTATGACTAAGTGAGAGAAGCTAATCTAGAAAAGGCTCCATGCTGCACGGCTCTGACTCCACAGCATTCTGGAAAGGGCAAAACCATGGAGACAGGGAGAAGATCAGTGGCTGCCGGCAGCTGGGGAGAAGGGAGCGGTGAGTAGCCAGAGCACAGAAGTTGGTTTTCTGTTGGTTTGGTTTCCGTTTTGTTTTTTAAGATGGGGTCTCGCTATGCAGTTCAGGCTGGCCTTGAACTCACTATGTATTCCAGGCTAGCCTGGAACTCATGGCAATCCTCCTGTCTCAGCCTCCTGGATGCTGAGATGACAGCCATGTACCACCCAGAAGATCTGTAGGGCAATAAAAACTATGCACTATTATACTAGAAAGGGGACGCATGGCATGACATGTCCAACCGCAGGAGGTATAATAGCGAGCATTCACTCGAATGTGGGCAGAATGGACTGTGGACTCTGGGTGCGAAGGATGTGTCCAGGAGGTTCACTGATTGTTACAAATGTGCTAAGCCAAGCTGGGCATGATAGAGCACACCTGTCATCCCAGCACTCGGGAGGCTGAGGCAGGAGGATCGCTGCTAGTTCAAGCCCAGCCTGGGTTACCTAGCGAGACCCTGTCTCAAAACAAAACAAAACAAAACAAAGCACCAAATGTGCTAAACTGGTGCAGGACGTTGATGGTGTGAAGCTGTCCCATGGGGAGGGGGTTGATAAATGGGAATGCTCAGAAGTTTCTGCTCAGCTTCGCTGTGAACCTAAAGCCTGCTCTAAGAATCTAAAGTCTATTTTTAAAAATGAAAGAAGAAACGTCAGTGGTTGACATCCTTCGACCAAGGCAGTTCTCCAGAAATAATCATGGGCCCGGGCTGGGGCTCAGTGGAACAGTGTTTGCCTAGCACACACAGGGTGGTGGGAAAGAAAAGAAAAAGAAAAAAACAATTGCACAGGTGGTGCCGAGCATTGGTTTAAAAAAAAAAGGAAGGGGAAAAAAATCCACACTGGAAATAACCCCGGCAGCTGTCAGAAGGGATTGGTTAAATAAACACGGTCCAGACAGACAGTGAAGAGGTGCTGGGCGGCTGTCTTGTTTTTTAAAAGACATTGACAAAGTGAAAATAAGCAGGCTGCAAAACAGTACCTACAAAAACAAATACATCAGGCCGGGTGTGGTGCACACACCTGTAATCCCAGCACTCAGGAGGCTGAGGCAGGAAGAGCACCCCAAGTAATTTAAAAACTTTAAAAGGCTGGGCATGTGCTGTACCATCCTTGTGCAAACATCATCAAGCACTTTACAATATCTCAGACACCTGTGAGATCAACAGACAATAAAAGTTTACCAGACCAATGTGTTGAACATGTGACCTGTTGCACACAAAATATTGGAGGGATGGAACCCAGGGCCTTCACTGAACTACACCTCAGCCCTTTTATATTTCAAGATAGGGTCTTGCTAAGTCACTAAATTCCCCAAACTGGGCTGGAACCTGAGATCCTCCTGCCTCAGCCTCCCAGAGGATTGAGATTACAAGAGTGTACCACAATGCTCAACTCCTCTTTTACCTTCTACTTTTTTTTTAAAAGACAGGCTCTGCTACGGCTTGTATCTAGATGTCCCCCCAAAGTCTCATGTGGCCTTAGCTGGGGCTCTTTGGTGGTGGCTGGATATAGGGTGTGTGAACGTGGATTAAGGGTGTGATCAATCCCCTGACTGGTTGGCATTATTCTGGGTGTGGATAACGGGAAGCTCAACCCTGGATGTGAGTCACACCAACCACCAGGCTTGTAGCCTGAGAGGAATAAAAGGGAAAGAAAGGAAGGCTCACTGCTTCCTGCCTGCCCTGCCATGGACTGTTTCTCGTCTGCCATGCTGTCCCGCCTTGGAGCCAGCAGTAGTCGGAAACCTCTGCAAACTGGGAGCTAAATAAACCTCTTCTCCTTTAACTTGTGTGCATCAGGTATTTCGTCTCAGCAGTTAAAAAAAGGAACCAAAACAGTCTCTCTCTCTTTCTCTGTCTGTCTGTCTGTCTGTCTGTCTGTCTGTCTCTGTCTCTCTCTCTCTCTCTCTCTGTCTGTCTCTCTGCCTCTCTCTCTGTTGAGCAGGCTGTGCTCAAACTCCAAGGCACAAGCAGTCCTCATCTCCCGCTCTCGTTTCTCCGGCTCAGGCTCCTGCCTGCCCCGGCCGCCGCTCTCCTCCCTCACCCTCAGCTTGGGGCTCGCGGACTCTGGCTCGGGGCTGCGCTGAACCCAGAGCAGTGCCAGGCCGGGTGAGTTGCGGCCGCCCCCACGAGGGCCACTCACCAGCGTCCAGAGGACGTAGATGGTGAAGAGCGCGATGGTGAGCGCGATGAGCCCCACGGCCTCCAGCCTGCTGTGCAGCCGGAGGTGGTCCTGGGCCCCGCGCAGGCACAGCCAGCCCGAGACGGCGGCCAGCGGCGTGATGAACAGGAAGCATACCATGTCGCAGCACAGCGTCCGCTTCTCCGTGCGCGGCCCCGGGTTCCTCAGCCACTGTGGGAAGCGGGGCAGACGGGAGGGCGCAGAGGAGAGGAGCGGCTGGGGGGCGGGGCCGCAGGTCGGGACCTCCCTCCAGCCCCGCTTGTTTGCGTGCTCTGGTTTTTTGAGACTGGGTCTCACTATGTAGCCCAGGCTGGCCTCGAACTCCCAGTGCTCCTCCTGCCTTAGCCTACCGAGGGCTGGGATGACAGTTGTATGCCAGCGTGCTCAAAAATATGAAATTTTTAGAGCACTAACCTGACACTGCAACTGAGGATTCCACACTGTGAAACTCTGTTTCATACCCAAAATTATTTGAAACATTGTATAAAATTAACTCCAGGCTAAGTATGTAGGGTGTATAAGAAACAAAATAACTCTGCTTGGACTTCAGTCTAGTCCTTAGAATAGCTTATTATAGGTATGCAAATATTCCAAAAGCTAAAAAAGTTCAAAGCCAGGAGCAGTGGGCCATGCCTGTAATCCCAGCAGCCTGAGGCAGAGGATTTCCTCAAGTGTGAGGCCAGCCTGGGCTATACAGTGAGTTTGAGGCCAGCCTGATTTATACATGACAGCCTGTTTCAAAAACAAAAACAGCCAGGCACGGTGGCACAGACCTATAATCCCAGCACTCAGGACGCTGAGGCAGGAGGATCACTGTAAGTTCAAGACCAACCTGGGCTACAAAGTGAGCTCAAGGCCAGCCTGAACTGCATGGCAAGACCTTGTCTCAAAACAAACAAACAAACAAAACAGTAAAAGCTGGACCAAAAAAAGAAAAAAAGCTTCTATGATGAAATTGCTGAGGATGTAGCTCAGTGGTAGAGTTCTTACGGTGCATGCACAAGGCCCTGGGTTCAATCCCCAAAACCACCAAAAAAAAAAAAGCTTCTAAGTAAAAGCCGGGCATGGTGGCACATGCCTGTCATCCCAGCACTCAGGAGGCTCAGACAGGAGGATTGCCACAAGTTCAAGGCTAGCGTGGGCTATGTAGTGAGTTCAGGGGCAGCCTGAATTATACAGTGAGACCCTGTCTCCAAAAAAAAAAAAAAAAGTAAAAAAAAAAATTCAAAATCCAAAATACTTCCTTCACAAGTATTTCAGATAAGAGATTTCTCAACCTATAATCTATAAACCAGCCAGAACTGGAACCTTGGGGCCTCTGTAGCCTCAGCCTCTATGCAGTGCTGCCTCCTGTGGCTTACGGCTGGGGAGAAAGCCTCTGCTCACAAGGGCTTCTCCCTCTCTCACTAGTAGGGAGGTGCAGATGGGGCAGCTGCTCAGGGAGAAAGGATTGATTGGCCCTGAAGAACAGCTGAGCAGAAGAGCTGGGTGCGTGGAGGGCAGAGACAGTGCTCCAGGCTGTGGGAGCAGCAGGTGCAATGGCCCTGGGGTAGGAAAGGGGGTCTGGACAGGTGCAGCATTGGGCGCTGGCAAGGAGGACCTAGTCCCCACTGTTCTCCGTGCAGTCCAGCTCCTGATGGGCCAGGGCTTTTCCACACACGCTAGGACACCAGGGAGGAGCACCCACCACACCGGGCACTGCACTGCCATGGTCCTGACCATCATACTCAGGCAGAAGTCTAAATGCTGGGCACAGCCCGCGGCCACCTCAGATTTCACCCACTCCAGACACTTGAGCTTTGGCAAAACACCAAACTAGTGGGGTGTGGTGGAACACACCCGCAGTCCCATCACTCTGGGAAGCTGAGGCAGGAGGATCACAAGTTTGAGCCCAGCTTGGGCAACTTCTTTCCCTACCACTCACCACTTCCGTGCTTTCCCAGACTTAATCTCCATGACCATCGGCCATGTGCGCTACAGAGGGCTGGTGCCCCTGAACCAGACACAACACTGGGCACCCAGAGAGGTCCAAGAAATACTTGCGAGTGAGACAGTGATTTTTTCTTTCTAGTCCTGGGATAGAACCCAGGGCCCTTCTACTGTGCTATATACACTGTCCTTGTTTATATTTTTTGTCTTGTTTTTTGTGGGTTGTTTTTTTTTTTTTTTTTTTTCTTTTTTGGTACCCAGGAATTAAACTCACGACCTCACGCTTGCCAGGCAGGCGCTGTATATTTTTTATTTTGAGGCAGTGTCTTGCTAAGGCACTAACTTGCCCAGCTGGGCTTAAACTTGTGATCCTCCTGCCTCAGTCTCTCAAATGTGTTCCAGGATAGGGATGGGGATGTAGCTCAGCGCCACAAGTGCCTGCCTAGCAAGCGCAAGGTCCTGAGTTCGATTCCCAGTACCAAAAACAAAAAAAAGCAAAAAACAAACCCAAATGTGTTCTAGGAGATGGTAAGTCTGAACAGGGAAGCAGGGGCCACCCCGGGGAAGGGAGAGAGGTGACTCCCAGGGTGGCTCTGTCTCCTCCTCCCCATCCCCTCTGCACACCCCTTTCAGGACCCCCACACTACCTCTGTGAGAGGCCGGGGCCGCTTTTCCACCGCAAATTCCGTGTGGCACAGCTCGCAGTAGCTGGTGTTGGACGAGGACAGCCACTTCTCCAGGCAGCTCTTGTGCACAGCACCCAGGGTGCCCGTACAGCCACACGGAGACAGCAGGCTCTCCCCATTGGCGCCCTCGTGGCAGATCCGGCAGAAGGGACAGTCACTAGAGACAGAGAGAAGACCCATGCGCAGTGATTGGGCTTCCTGCTTCACTACCCCCACGTTGGCAAACTCCTCCTCATCCTTCAAAGCCCAGCTCCAAATGTCCTCTCCTTTCAGAAGTCTCCTCAGACTCCCACAGGGGGGATGAGATGCTCCCTCCCCCGGCCGCTTGTGGCACCGTTTAGGCTCAGCGTGAGCCTTGTGTACCTGCCTGGCCAGCGTCCTTTCCCCCTTTCCCTACAGCACTGACTGCCCTGAACAACCAGCCATTCTCAGTTCTTGGTCCTCAATACAAACGCAGGGCTGGTGACAGCTGGGTGACCTTGAGCCTGACCAATAGAATACACAGCCATTGTGGAAATCAAATCAGAGGAGGGCTTCTGTGACACAATCAGACCCACTGAGAATACATTTATTTGCTTTTTCTTTTCTTTTCTTTTCTTTTCTTTTTGAGAGAGGGTCTGACTATGCAGCCCAGGCTGGCCTGGAATTCAAGAGGATCCTCCTGCTTCAGCTTCCCAAGTGCTGGGATTACAGGCCTGCGCCACCACGTCCAGTTTTTTGGTTTTTTTTTTTTTTTTTTGGTCTTTTTGAGACGGTCTCACTATATGCAGTTGAGGCTGGCCTTGAGCTCACTTTGTAGCCCAGGCTGGTCTCGAACTCACAAGGATCCTCCTGCCTCACTGGGACTACAATTTCTGAAATTCTTCTTCCCCTCTAAACACCATAACAGCGAGGCTGAGGACAGCTCAGAGCCGCTGGCAGCCACATGGCTCCGACTTGAGCCTCTGAACTTCACCAACAGAATAATGTGGGACCAGGGGCCAGGAAAAGTGGATTCTTCAGGCCAGAACCAGACCCCGGGGTCGAGTCCCTCCTGAAGGCCACTCTGCCTGTGCTCCTAAGACTCGCTCACCTGCTCCTCCCATCCTGTGAGGGGAAAACGGACAGAAACAACGACCCGCGAGCTGCCGGGGAAAGTCAGCCTCGGCCGCGGGACTCGCTCCTGCCTCCTGGAGGCGGGAGGTGTGGCCTGCGAGGCGGAGCAGGCAGCGCCTGAGTCACTGTTTTCCAAGCCTCTCTACTCCAGAGCAGAGGCTGTCGGGAGGAGCGCGGAGGAAGCTGCTTTCCAGATAACTGCGCCTTTCCCCTGGAAACTTCTCTGGCCCTTCTCAGGCCTTCTTGCCGCAGGGTGGGGCCTGGCTGCTGGGAAGCGAGCCCCAGGGCCTGCGAAGGCCTGCTCCTGGCTGGGCCGGGGGCCGGGATCTGTTCCCCTCCACTCTCCACATCTCCAGCTCCTGCTCCAGGATCCAGCTGGGGAAACGGGGCTGCCCAAGACCCACAGGGCTCTGGGAAATCCTGGAACCTTTTGTTTCTGAGACAGGGTCTGCCATGCTGCCCAGGCTGGCCTCGAGCTCATGGCAATCTTCCTGCCCGAGCGAGTGGAAACTTCACTGCACACTTACTGTGTACGCATGGGGGTGAGTTTGTCCAGGCTCACAAGGAGCCCGTGGGCAAGGCGCTGACTTGGCCCCCACTTTACAGAGAGTGAGACTGAGGCGGAGAGGAATCTTGGCCCCTCTGTGCAAGTCTGCACAGCTAAGAGCCTGCAGAACCGGGATGGGAACCCAGCAGGGGGTGGCACAGGCCAGTCATCCCAGCACTCAGGAGGCTGAGGCAGGAGGACTGCCACAAGTTCAAAGACAGGCTGGGCTACATAGTGTGTTGAAGGCCAGCCTGACGCTGTCTCAAAAAAATTAAAAAAAGAAACCCAGGAACTCTAGCTCGGTGGCCTGTGCACCCAGGCTGCTACTCCACTTCCTCCCGGATGATGAGCAAGAGAAACGGGCCTTGCTCCAGAAACCCAGGCAGGGAAATCACGCGGAGGACACAGAGAAGGAGGAAATGTGAGGGGGGCGGGGCGGGGCTGCCGGGAGCACTGCGGGAGCAGGAAAAAAAAATTCAAGCGAGGTAGGAAGCTGACCTCTGGGAGAAGAAGGCAGCGGGGGAAGGCCAGGCGCAAAGGCTACAGCTTCGGGGAGTGGCAAAGGCTCAGGGCAGGGGAGACGAGCACCCGAGGGCCCTCTGGCCCAGCAGATCCTCCCCGGGCTTTTTCTTTGGTGCTGGGGATTGAACCCAGGGCCTCTACACTCAGCTACATCCTTAGCCCTTTTTTATTTTTTTAATTTTGAGACCAGATCTCACTAAGTTGCTAAGTTCCCCAGGCTGGGCTTGAACTTGGACTTGTGATCCTCCTGTCTCAGCCTCCCAGAGTGGTGGCGGAAACCCAACCTTTGCAGGTATCGGAGCTCAGACCTCTCTGCCATGCCTCATCTCTGCCATGAGCTCCAAGGAATGAGAGGGGAATGTTAAGGCCTGATTTGTCTTGTTTTGTCTTTTGATATAGTCTCGCTGTATAGCGCAGGCTGGCCTTGAACTTGCCACGATCCTCCTGCCTCAGCCTCCCCTATGTTGGGATGACAAGCTTGGGCCACCGTGCCAACTCCTCATACTGGGTTTTAGGCACAGGCATGGTTAGATCATTTTCTAGTGCACAATGGCAAAACACAAATCACAGGTCCAATTCCAAGTTTCCATTTCTCCTTGGGTCCCTCTTGGAATACTGGGCAGGAGGGGTGACCCAGGCCCCTCCTCATCAAGCCTGAGGTGAACAACCAGGACTCCACGATGTGCGTGCTGTGTTACTAAATCATGCTGCTCGGCACATTAAATCTGTCAGTGGACTTTCTTCCCAATTTTTCTTTTTGGGGTCCTGGGGATTCAACTCAGGGCCTCCAGTGTGCTAGGCAAGTGCTCTATCACTGAGCTATGTCACCAGCTCTTTTTATTCTTCTTATTTTGAGACAGGGTCTCGCTAAGTTGCTCAGGCAAAGTCTTGAATTTATGATCCTCCTGCCTCAGCCTCCTGAGTAGCTGGGATTACAGGTACCACTAGCCCCAGCTTCGATGTGTTTTCACTTGATGATGTTTTCAACTTGCACAGGCCCATTATCAACTGAGGAACATATGTACATTTATCGAATGCTCGAGAGGTGGCGATCCCCACTTTCTGGGGACCAGGTCATCATTTTCTCAGAACAACTTGATCAGGAAGATGTCCCCAGTTTAGAGATACAGCAGCGAGGTCACTCCCCTGAGCTCACTCAGAGAGGAAAGCAACCAACCACTGGGGAATTGAGCCAGGTGGTTGGGCACTGCACACCTATCTGCTCCTTATATAGGCATACACCTGTCATCCCAGCACTCAGGGAGGCTGAGGCAGGAGAATCACAAATTCAAACCCAGCTTGGGCAACTTAGTGACTTAGTGAGAATTTGTTTCCCACCCCGCCAAAAAAAATCCTCTCTGCAGTGTAGTTACTAACCAGCACTTGACGTGTAGACTTTGCATAATAACTGGAATTTGGGCTTTGCCTAAAGAACCAGACCAGCCAGGTGTGGTGGCACACGCCTGTAATCCTAGAAGTTGGGAGGCTGAGGCTGGAAGACTGTTGGGAGTTCGAGGTCAGCCTGGGTTACAAAATGAGCTCAAGGCCAGCCTGAACTGCATACTGAGACCCTGTCTCAAAAAGACAAAAAAATAAAAAAAAAGAACCAGACCTGGCCAGCCGGGTGCTCTGTTTCTGCACGGCTTGTTCACCCCACCAGCTGACCTCCCTCAATGCTTGGACTTCTGACCCCATACCAAGAGGAAGTCATTTAGCGCAGAGAGAAAGAGGGACAAAGTCCACGCACCACACAGCCCTCACTCACCCTGGCGTGTCCAAGGCCCGGATGACGGTGGAGAGGAGCCGGCCGTCCCTCGAAGTCACCTGCGCTACATACTGCGGGGGCCCGAGGCCTGTGGCCTCCACGACTTTGGAGAAGGCAGGGCTGCCTGAGCAGTCGCACAGGGAGCCGGGGAGGTGGCAGCAGTCGCCTGTCGTCATGGCCACAGGGAGCCCTGTGTCCTCAAGGCTCAAGGCCCATGGTCCCAGGAGCCTGGGGAGAGGCAGGCAGAGAGATTAAGGGGACAGTTAGTGAGCCCTGTGGACGAGGGCTCATCCTCTCTCCTCAGGCCTCTAGGGACCACAGACAAGGTCACACCTTTTTGAGCCTCAGTTTACCAGATCTGCAAAATGGGGCTTTGTTGGGAGTATGCATGCAACTTAGCCCAAGTCTGGCAGACAGTATGGGCTCCGGTTATGTTATCTCCCACAGTTCTAACAAAAGACAGGGAAGTCAGGTGCCTCCTGCACACCCAGCTACTGGGGGTGGGGGAGAAGCTAAGCCAGGAGGGTTGAGAGTTCGAGGCAAGCCTGGGAAACCTAGTGAGGACTTGTTGCCAAAAAATAAATTAATAATAAATTTAAAAAGAAGCCAGTTGCGGGGCGTGGTGGCGCACGCCTGTAATCCCAGCACTCAGGAGGCTGAGGCAGGAGGATTATTCTGAGTTCGAGGCCAGCCTGAGCTACAAAGTGAGCTCAAGCCCAGCCTGAACTGCATAGCGAGACCCTGTCTCAAAAAGACAGAAACAAAAACAGAAGAAGCCAGTCATGGTGGTGCACGCCTGTCATCCCAGCACTCAGGAGGCAGAGGCAGGAAGATCCCTGGGAGTTCAAGGCCAACCTGGGTTACATAGAGAGACCCTGTCTCAAAACACTAAAAGACAAAAACGTGAGAGAGAATGAAAATAAGAAAGGAAGGAAGGAAGGAAGGGGAAAAAAAAAGAAAGAAAAGCCCAGCCCCGCCCTTTCCACATCATCTTCCAGATGTAGGAAGAACATCTGGCAGTTACTGAGCACCTACCACGTTCCAGGCCCGGTGCTTGGCTCCATCCAGAGCCAGGGCCAGGGCCACACAGGGCCCACTCAGGATGCCTGGGCTGGGCTCGGAGCAAGGGAGGCCGCCTCGGCCTTGTGGGCCGAACAGTGAGTCACTGGACTCTGCTGCTCCGCGGCCTCCTGTCAGGCTGCGCACTCCTGAAACCTCAGGCTGTCAGGGAAGTGGCCCCAGCCGGGGAGGACAGAGGCAGCTCTGAGCCACAGCTTGATCCCCGTGGGGAGGGTACAGCCAAACAGCTGGAGCCTTAGGCAGCCATTCAGAGGGCTGGGCCACTGCAGCAGGATTCTGCCCTCTGCCTGGGGTCTGCTCAGCAAAAAGGGGCCCAGCTGGCCTCCGGCTCGGCCCCAGAGGCAGCCAGCAGGACTTGGAGTATAGCTTCCTGCTCGCTCTGCACGTTTCCCGCAGAGAATTCCTTGAAAGCAACTGAGGCTTCTGCAGTAAAGGTGCCCTGGGGTCGAGGATCTCTGTCCCCAACTTGTCCAACCCACAGGCCTTTGTCCCCCCAAACTAGGGTCCACAGCCTGCAACAGCTCCCCGGGAATCCGGGCACTCACCTGCGGGGTCCCTTTCCAAGTCAGCTTTTGTTTTGGCTTGGTTTTTTTTGAGACAGGGTCTCGCTGTGTAGTTCAGGCTGGCCTTGAACTCCCTATGTAGCCTGGGCTGGCCTTGAACTTGTGGCAACCCTCCTGCCTCAGCCTCCTGAGTGCTGGGATGACAGGTGTGTGCCACCACGCCCGGCTCTCCAAGTCAGTTTTTACCAAACCCTGCCAGTCCAAATCTGAGACCCAAAGAGACGGGGAGTGAAAGCAGCACAAATTGTTGATTGACTAACTTTTTGCAGGAGGCAACGCGCCAACAGATCAGTGTGTTCTGAACAGCTCAGCCAGACATCCAGCATTCCCTACTGGGCCTCCCCCGTTGGGCCGCTGGAGGTCAGATAAGCAGGCATCAGCCCAAGGCAGGAGGAGCCCAGAGGAAGGCTGGATGCCTGAGATAACATCCGGTGGGCAGTGGCCAGGCATGCAGTCTTGTGAGGGCTGCTGCCCCTTTGGAGCACTTGAAACCAGAGCTTCCAATGCAGAGCTCGGCGGGGAAGCCTCTGAGCCGAGCACATACAGAAAGAAGTCCAAGCATCGGTCTGAGCCTTTCTGCAAATAATCAGGGGTCACCAGCATCACCACAGCTCTGTATATTAAGTAGTAGGAGGGTGGGGCTGCTGGGAAATCTGCTAATGTCAGGCACACACATCACCAACACAGCAGCTAGGGTTTATTAAGGACTGGGAGCCCGCCAAGCAATCTGCCTAGGTGTGAATCAGCTCATCAAATTCAAAGAGTTGTTGTAAAGTGTCCCCTTCAAAGGTCACCTCCAGAAAGAACCCTTTCCTGGTCACTCTGGCTAAAATGCTGCTAAGGTCCACAGCACTCTGAAATGCTGCATTTGTCCAGCCACCTTTGCCTTCACACGGCTCAGTGACCTCTGGGAAGGAGGGACCTTGTCATGCTTGCTCACCGCCATCCCCGGCCCCCAGCCCTGTGTCTGGCTCCGTGTTTGTAGGCTCTATGCCTGCATTTGTTTCTCAGCCCTGATTCTGTGTAGGCACGGGCTTGGCAGACCAAGTCTCCTGACCCTCAGACCCCAGCCTGGCTGCTCCCTGGGTGGGACTCAGAGAAGTTCAGAGGCTACAAAGTCCACTTACATCACACAGGCCAGGCTTACAAGAGGCCACACTTGCAACTGGACCCAAGGGCGAGGGGCTACAAATGGGACTTAAACTCAGGGGCTGCCTGGGGCAACATACAGCCCAGCGCCCAGGAGCTGGATGGCATTGAGTCTGCACAGCAAACCTCCTATTTGACCTGTGAGGAGGCTGAGGTTCAGAGACAGGCATCTACTTGCCCAAGGTCACACAGCCGAGAAGGGACGGTGCCAGGATTTGAACTTACACAGGCCGGTGAACTGGTCCTGACCTCTAGAGACCTGAGCTGTTTCGGTCCCAGCTCTGTCACTGAGACTGTGCGTCCTGGCTCAACTTTGCTCCTCTGGACCTCATCTTTTTCCTTTGTCGAATGTGCTGGCAGGCTGGCTGCCGGGCACCCCCAGTCTTTTCCAGGCCTTCCCAGGAAAGGACACCAAAGAGGACCAAAGACTTTAATGCCCACAAGGTCATCTTAGGCGGCTGCTTCACCTCCAGCCTCAATGTTCTCATCTACAAGATGGGGGTCATTATGATACGCAAAGCATACACTGGTAAACGTTTTAAAAAATCAGTAAATACCAGCTCCAGTTGTAATTACCATCATCAGCCTGCAGGGCTGTTGGGACGGTCTGAGGGGCAGATACACAATTTGTACCTGGAGCCCAGGAGGTGCTCAGTAAATCCTCACTGTCATTATTTAAGATAAATGTGCAGGTAGGCGCGAGACGACGGTTCACTCCTGCCAGGTGGGGTGGCGGGTACCTGTCATCCCAGCACTCAGGAGGCTGAGGCAGGAGGATCAATGCCAGTTCGAGGCCAGCCTGGACTATATAGTGAATTCAAGGCTGGACTGAACTACACAGTGACACCTTGTCTCAAAATAAACAAACAAACAAAAACTGCATTCACACCTCTTCATTCACCCCAGGGAGCCTACTGTTACGTGCTTTTTAGTACTTCCACGATCCTGCATCAGAATCCAGGTTCTAATCCCAGCTCTCCTCCCTATTTGCTGTGTGGCCCTGAGCAGGAGATTGACTTCTCTGAGCTTTGACCTCCTCCTGTCTGACAGGGACCATTTTTTGTACTTTTTCCATCTGAAGGAACAAGCTAAACAAGAATTCTGTTTTGAACCCCACGGCAGCCCAGCGCACTGCTTCGGCCGCTGTGTGCACAGTTCCTGGCTGGTGAGCATACAGTATTTACTGTTTCCCAGGCAGAGAAGGAGGACAGAGAGAGACGTGAGTCACTCATTGACAGCCTACTGTGTGTGACAGGCGCTGTCCTCATTGGCCACCTCCGGGATCGGCTTGGCGCTGGGGTGACCCAGTTTCACAGACGGGGAAACCGAGGCTCAGAGAGGCGCCTGCGGGGTGCCGAGGCCCACAGTCCTCCCGTCGCCCTCGAGGTGGACACTGAGGTCCCCGCGGCCGCAGGAAGGCTGAGGCCAAGGGTCCAAGCCGGGCTGTCCCGCCCGGGGGCTGAGTGGGGCCTCGAACGCGGGATCGCGACCCACCTGCGTCCTCTGGCCCTAACCGTCGTCTCGCGCCTACCTGATCCGCGGCCGGGCCGGGCGGCCGCGCAGGCCCCACCGTTCGCCCTGGCCCGGGTCCCGG